AATTTTGTATGAAGATAATGTTGCATGTGTTACCAGATGAAAGAAGGTTGCATCAATTGTGATAGAACCAAACATATCCCTTTAAAGTTCTTATCGTTTACACAAGAATTTGAAAGAAACAAAGGGATTGATATTCAATATATTCGTTCGAGTGATAATGTGGGAGATCTTTTCACGCACTCCCTACATCAGTTTTTAAGAAACATGTATAAAATATTGGAACGCGTCACCTTCAAAATCTTTGAAGAAAAACTATATGTGTTTTGTTGAAGGGAAGCATAATGTTGTACTCCTTCGTCTCATAAAAAGCGCGGTTCTTAATAAAATGATTAGATGAGTTGATTTTAATGATAAAACTAATATCATTTAACATAATAGCCCTATTAATTATAGTTAATAGAGTAGTTGAATAAAGTTACAGTTAATAAATAGGGGTATAGTAGTGGAAAAAAAATAATAAATGATGCACTTGTGTTGTAAAGTGACAATTATATTGAGAAAGAGAAAAAGTGCAAATCAAACACTTTTTATGAGATGGAGGGAGTACTATTTTTTCTTTATTAAGATTTTTATCCCAATTAATTTTTTCTAATAAGATTTTTAACGAGGCAACATAAACTTTCATAAGATTCTCCTGGACAAAACTTTAACGAAGCACCGTGCTAAATATTTTAAAAGGGAAGTGTTATAGTAAATTAAAAAACAATTACCATTGTTCTGAAATATCTATTTAAATGTCAACTTAAAATAGTAATTTAAATTATCCATTAAAGTATCAATGTAGAATAATAATGTTCTATTTACAATGTCAATTTAGAATAGTAATGTAAATTATTACATTCATATAATAATTGTAATTCTAAATAGTATAAATATCTCATTTGATTCATGTAAAGATATATAATTTTCTTTGATAAATATAAGACAACATACTACTTTATTCTCTCTTTATTTCCTTAGTTTTATTTAAATAATCGGTTTTCTCACCAAAATCATATTTAAATCAGAAAAATTAGAGTTAAATATATGTCACCCCTGTAATATTAGGGGGTTCTAGATTATAATTTTTACTACCGACGAGATTCAAACTCAGTACTTAAGTTTACTGGGCAAGATTCTTAACCACATGTTCCTTTTGTTTATAACGTTACATGTTAAATATACATCATCTATTTATCTTTGATCATATTTAAAAATCAATACAAAATAATACGCTAAAGATGAAATTATCCATTTTTATTTAGCATATGGAATTATATGTACATGAACATATGGAATTGAATGTACATAAGCATAGGTATATCTTCGGTTAATTTCTATTTGTCTTCATGCAGATAAGAAGTACTTTATATTACATATCTTTTAGTGGACTAGCTTTGTATATATTTTTTCAACAGATGATTAATGTTTATTGAAAATTTCATGTTCTGCTCAATTGGATTTTATTAAAGGAAAAGTGAGAGTGAAGTATGCTATGAACCAATAAGATACTTTTTTGTATTGATTCTTAAACATGTTAGCTTTAGTTGCGAGAATTGCATTTTCAGCATAGTATTGAAACCACACAAGGAAATAATATGTAATTCTCATGCGGAAGAAGTCATTGCAATAGAAACCACAATAGTTGATCGTAAAAGGCCAGAAAAATGGAGCATATTATTCTTTCATATATTTAGAAATCAATATAGAATAATACCTGAAATTACAATGGGTAACATAGAAAGCTAAAGATGATCAAAAGATAATTAATTAGATGATATATATTTAACATGTAAACATTTGTTACAAATGAACATTATCCTTTTGATTAAGAATTTCTACCAATAAGTTTATCACCAAATAGTGAATCGTTATATTGATCTTATGATCAACTTATTAGATATAGACTCTATTTGATAAAAAATAGTGGTCGATTGATAAGCTACGTGATAGTTTATAACTGATGATTGATGACTGATAATTTATAGTTAATGACTGATGACTTATTACTGATAAGCTAATTGAAATGTTTGATAAAATTAGCAGTTCAATTAGTTGATAAATTAAAATGATATAAAAGACATTTAATATATAATTGTTTTATTCAAATTAAAATAAATTATATAAAATAATAGTGAATTTTAGTTAAAATAATAAGGATAAAAATGAAAGAAAAAAATAAGTTATAAAATAAAATATTATTTAAAATATAAGCTATAAATTACTAGCGTATAAATGGGCACTCACATATCCTTCTGTCCGCTTTCTCTAATACTGACGCGCATAAAACATAAACTGTATTATATTTTTATAATTTAACTTTAATTTTATTTTAAATTATTTATAAAATAGTTAAAGATAATTATACGAAAAATAATAAACGGTATACCGAAAATAATAAACGGTCTATCACTGCCGTTGTGGAAAAGAGAAGTTAAGATTTAAAATAAAAATTGGGTATATTTAGAAGAAGAAAAAAAAGGCTACACCAAATGTATATTTTTTTTTGCCTTTAATTAGTATAGATTAGTATAGATAAACTTGTAGAATACACGTGCTCCCGCACGGGTAAATTTAATTTGAGAATGTAGATTCAAATAATTTAAAAACATGTAAGAAAAATGCTAAATATAATTGTAAAAGTACAATGTGAAATGAGGAAATAGAATTAGAATAACAAAAGATTTGCAACATGTCTACACAAAATATAATGGTAAACTTGAATAACAATGTCAAAGAGTAAAAAAAGAAAGACGCAAAAAAACCAAGTGGTAATACATCATTTGTTACAATCATTGTTGATGGTAGCTCGTGTAGCATGAATCTCCATAATGAACAAAAACATTTAACCCGTAAAGAATAACACTTATATTAGGTGACAACTAAGAACACCATATACCAAGACTAAAAAATTATACAAATAACTTGTAGTTAAATACCTATTAAATATTGTGAAAAACTTCCTTGAAGACAACATTAGTGGTGGTATACATAATCTGTTTTTCTTTGCCATGAATCAAAATCTTAAGACCTTCTTTAATCTTAACTCTAGAAAGTGTCACATACAATTGACCATGACTAAAAACATCTTTTGGTAAGTATAAATTAATGTTGTTTAAAGATTGACCTTGTGATTTGTTAATTATCATAGCAAAAGAAACAATAATTGAAAATTGTCTTCTAACCAACTTAAAGGGTCATGGTGACTGTGAAGGGGACAAAAACATTCTTGGAATATAAATGGTGTTACCAATATTTTTCCAAAAATGATCTTAGCTTCAATGACATGATTAGCAAACCTTGTTACAGTGAATCCGGTACCATTGCATAATCCTTCAGATTGATCCAAGTTTTGCAACAACATATTTGTGCTCCTAATTTTCAACTTGATTGAATGATTAGGCAATTCTGATGTTTTCAGAGCATTCAAAAATTCAGGTGTCAAGTGTTCAAATGCATCGAAGTCAGTTGCTTCAGATTTATCAACAGAATTGCTACTGAAGTATTCCTTTTCATCTTCTTAAATTCAAAAAAACATTGTATTTGAGTTCAATTCTAATAAATAATACGTTATGAAATGAAATACATTAAGTAAGTATGAATAGTACCTGGAAGAAGGTTTGTGATGTATTGATTGATATCATCCACCACTTCAATAGTTGAAGCCAAAATTGCACGACTTTGAAGGTAATTGGAGTCATTATAATTACGAATGGGATTAGGATAGGTACTTTCAACAATAGTCTCAATAGGATCTGAAAAAATAGAAATGAGAAATTTTTGCGGAATTGAAATTTCAACATAACCATCATTTGGTTCAGACATTCTCCCATCTCCAATTTTTAAGATCCATTTAGAATTTTTTTTAATCTCATCAATGGTAGTTGTCATTGTTCCACTTTGCAAGCGCATGTTCTTTATAAGTTTGAGTACCCTACAATGATCCCAAATATAAGAAGCATTGATGGTTGCATGAATAATATCTGATCTAGTACCTCTTGGTACAACAGGAAGAATTTGCCTGAAATCACCACAAAAAACAACAACCTTCCCTCCAAATATTTTCTCAGACACTTTTGAATTTCTACTCATAATATCCTTCAAAGATTTGTCAAGAGCCTTAAAGCAAAATCCGTTAGCCATAGGAGCCTCATCTCATATGATTAGATCAGTCAACTTCAATATGTCAACAAGTTCATTTTTTTTGTCAATGTTGCAAATAAATGTTTTCAAAGTAGGGACTAAAATCTTATATTTAGAATGAACTGTTCTTCCACCTAATAACAACAAACTTGCAATCCCACTTGAGGCAACAGACACCACAATTTTTCTTTTAGCACGAAGTGCAGCGGACAAAGTGCTCCATATAAATGTTTTACTTATTCCACTATAACCATATAAAAAAACACACCACCTTTTTGTTTTTCTACAACTTCCATTATTTCTTCAAAAATCTTTCTTTGCTCATCTACAAATAACATAATTATAACAAAAAGATTAGTATGATCAACATATAAATGATATCATTATACTAAATAAATGCATTTGAATGTTAGCTATAAAAATAATGACATGAAAAATAATAAACCGACTATAATTACTATCGTAAAAATGAGAAGTTAAGATTTAAAATAAAAAATTCAAAAGATATAATTAGAAGAAAAAAACTAACCAAATAAATATTTTGTTGCCTTATACTAATAGTATAGATAAACTCTCACAAACACAGCCATCTAAAATTGCCCTGGCTTTAATAACTGTACACACAAATTACAAAATATTAAACGGGTAAAAACGTCTGGATTTTCCAACCCGGGCTATGTATGCAACCAACACAAGGCACACCGATACTGAATCCAACTACTAGTTGGTACTAGCACACCTTTCCTTCATCGTTGCACTACTACCCACGTGCAACGCGTGTATATTATATACTATATTTTCCGATTTAGATTACCGCTGATCGCATCCACCACCACCACCAACAACCGTTTCTCTCATCTGAACTGAACGATCAATCAATGGCCGTGTAAGTTCATTCATCAATTACTAACTATAAAACCTTACTCTCTTGCATTCATTTTAAATTATGTATGTAGTAGTGGAATGAAATTAACTGAATTAACCCTAAATTGATATTTGTTAGGGTTGCTTCTGCTCCTGGAAAAGTGTTAATCACCGGTGGTTATCTTGTTTTGGAGAGACCCAATGCAGGACTTGTTCTCAGTACTAATGCTCGTTTTTATGCTATTGTTAAACCTATTTACCATGAAACTAGACCTGATGCTTGGGCCTGGGTCTGTTAGTTATTCTTTTTCTCATTCAATTTTTATTATTTTCATTTTTTATATTGTTATATGTGATTGAATTGAATTGCTTGCTCTTCCTTCAGGCTTGGACTGATGTTAGATTAACTTCTCCTCAGCTATCCAGAGAAGCTTTGTATAAATTAGCACTCAAAAATCTTACTATCCAAACTGTTTCCTCAAGGCAGGTTTCTCATTTTTCTCTAAATCAAATCAAATTCATTCACACTTAGTGTGTGTTTGGTTCAATGGTGAAAAAATGATTTTGAGTAGATTGATTATTGTAAAATGGATTCAAGTTAAAAGTAAGTTGAAGGTAAAATAATTTATGTTTGGATGAATTCTTGTAAAGCTGAATTGAACATTAAATTTCAGTACAAAAATCACGTTTAGACTCAAGACATGCAAATCCTAGTTTCATGTAGAATCAATTATAAAAAGTATAATCAATTCTACTCGAGAACAGCCAAACATATCAAAATCAATTCTACACGTCCAAAATCAATTATGGATGCCCCAAATGTGAATTTTATACCTCATTTACTAACAAGTCATGTAGAAAGTGTATTAATAATTGGCATCCTTAGATTGTACTTTCTAACGTTCCCACTCTTATTAGTTTGACATAGGGTCTGCTTAAATTGGTTTATTTGAGCTTAATTATTGACATAAGCACATGTGAGGCTCGAGCACTTCCGAGACTGTTTGGAAGAACTTAACATATAAACTCTCCAATATAGCTTATGAAAATAAATTATAACTTACATGAAAACAGTTTAAATTTTTATCTTTTGTTAAAGAGATAACTTACATATAAGTACTTATATGATAAACACTTACAGCATAGGCATGCAGTTATTTGCTTATCCAAACTGAGTCATAGATAGGTGAGGCTGACATGAGTTGGGTTGTTATTTCAGTGAAACAAGGAACCCTTTTGTGGAATATGCAGTGCAATACTCTGTGGCTGCTGCTTATGCAACGTTTGACCAAAATAAAAAGGACTTGTTACACAAACTACTTTTACAAGGTAATGCTGTTTTTCTCACCCCTTTTAATTATCAACGGGTAACAACAACTTCAAACTTCCAATTTTATAAATAGGTTTGTCGCGCAGGTCTTGACATTACAATTTTGGGTTCCAATGATTTTTATTCTTACAGGAATGAGGTAATTTGCTCTTGTTTGTATACTTTCCGTACATCATTTTTCTCATCCTTTCTAGTCGTTCTCCTTCAAATTTGATAGCTTGAAGATTTCGTAGTGTTTAATAGCTTAGACCAAGAAGTTTGTCTGAATAAATACTCCTGCAGATTGAGAGGCGCGGACTCCCTTTGACACCAGAATCATTGGCCACCCTTCCACCTTTTGCCTCCATTTCCTTCAATACCGATGACGCTAATGAAGGAAACTGTAAGCCTGAAGTTGCTAAAACTGGGTTGGGCTCATCCGCAGCCATGACAACAGCTGTAGTTGCTGCTTTACTTCATTACCTTGGCGTCGTAAAGATTTCCTCTTCAAAAGATCATCAGGACAGGAAGGATATTGCAGATCTTGATATGGTTCATAAAATAGCTCAAACTGCACACTGTATTGCACAAGGGAAAGTTGGTAGTGGGTTTGATGTAAGTTCCGCCGTGTATGGAAGTCACCGCTATGTGCGGTTTTCTCCCGAAGTGATTTCTTCTACTCAGGTCTCTGCCTTCCGCCTCCCTCTTCTCATATATGTACTATGCATTGAGCAACAACACTTCAATTCTCAGTATTCATGTTCATCATATAAAGACACACACTCACACACAATAGAGTCTGCAAATTCAACATAGAACTGGCGCAATGCACCCTCCCTGGTTTATTTAATTTGACCATATTTGGCTTCTATCTCGAGATTATAACAGCTATTACCTGTTAATTCTTGAAATTCTGTGGACAAATATGTTCAATAATAATACTATTTAGTCACCATTGTGCATTGCATTTGTTCAATTACACAAACTTGTAACTTTGGTACTTTGTTCCTTCCATGTGGATTTTTCTCTAGAAGTGAAAAAAAAACCAAGGTAACTAATTGTTACTTTAGCCACATTATTTTAATTTACCTGCCATGGTTAACAATCATGCTGGGATTCATTTGTTTGTTATCTCTTACATTGATCGACCAGACACTGTTTTTGAATTATTGGAGATGTTGGAGAAACATCAACGACTTCATTGACTTTGCAGGTTGCAGCTACAGCAGTGGCCTTGCCAGAAGTAATCATTGACATTCTAAAAGGAAATTGGGATCATGACAGGACCCAGTTCTCTTTACCACCTTTGATGACTCTTGTAAGCAACTTAAACTTTCCACATGTTTGTATTATTATATGTTAACATGTCTTGTAATAAGTGCTATAACGCTTACGTCCTTCCCTGCCTCCCTCTTCCGCTACTATTTCTCCTTTTTTTTATTGAAGGGTGGGTATGAGGCTGTACCTAACTTTATATTTTGTACTTTTGATTTCTATTCAATTACCTGATTTTAGTGGTTACAAAAATGCTGTCTTATTAGCTTTCTTCTAGGTTTTTCAAAAAATTGAGTTTTTCATTTTACAAACACCCTAGCCTTCTGCTTCACAAACAGCTCGTTTTTGCTTCTATTTTATTTAACACATTATCATTTAGATTCGGACTTTTCATTTGAATATTGTGGTTCTTTCTATATATGGGAATCTAGTGTATTTCACCTACTTAACCTTACATGATACCATTAAAGATTTGGCCGGAGTATTCTTTCTTATGGCAGTTATGTCAAGGAAACAACTGATAACACTAATGTAAAAGGTTTATTTAGTACATAATGCTTACTTATTAGTGTCCAAATTTATATATCTAAGAAGTTGAACTATACGCTACAATTGAAATTTAATATGTTCCCACATATATACTTACTACAGTTAGTACCTTAATACTATGCCTCCTGAGAACCCAGCTTTTTGTTCTTGATAAGTTATTTTTTAAATCTTGACTTTCAAATTTTACTATCTTCTTTTTTATATCAAAGGAAAATGTGGCATCTTTGTTGCCTCTTGTCCTCTTCTCGTTCTGCGACTGACTTATGGCAACTACTCTCCTCACACTAAGACGTTTTTCCTTTTAGGTACTAGGGGAACCTGGAACTGGTGGATCTTCCACACCATCAATGGTTGGTGCTGTCAAAAAATGGCAAAAGTCTGACCCTCAGAAAGCTCTGGAAACATGGAGAAGATTGTCAGAGGCAAATTCAGCATTGGAAACACAACTGAACTTGTTAAGAAAATTAGCAAAAGAACAATGGGATGCATACAAGTCTGTGATTAACAGCTGTAGCATCCTCAGATCCGACAAGGTATTTTGTTGAGATAATTTGGGGTTGTTTGATCAATAGAAGTAATTTGAAAATAACAGAAATTTTCTTATGCAACTAAAGTATATTGATTAGCAGTTCTCAGCATTAGACTCTAACAACTTAAACTGTGCTCCAATCGTTTTCTTTGCTTTTTGCATTAAGGATTAGACTTCTACCATTCTTTCTCTAAGTTTTTCATGAAATATGATATCTTCAATGATTAGACTCATACGTCTCTCCTATTACTTTTTGATGGGACCTTATTTTTGCACATAGTTTAGTAGATTTGTGATATGATTTCCTTGAGAATGCTCTTTCATGCTATGAAGTTTTAGTGAACTTTCATACATTGTGTCGTTTCTTCTTGATTTTCTTCTTTCATGTTGATGTTTGAAATGCAAATTACATAATCAGTGGATAGAACAAGCTTCTGAACCTAACAAAGAAGCAGTTATTAAAGCACTCCTAGGCTCCAAAGAGGCAATGGTGGGAATCAGATATCATATGCGCCTAATGGGCGAGGCTGCAGGTGTTCCGGTAAGTTTATTTCTCTAGCTGAGCACTTAGTTATATATGGTTCTCTGTTTGCACGATATCAATTTTGCTTATAAAAATAGGTATGTCCAGGTGGAATATATGTTGCCCATATTAATGTGTAACGTTGTTGAAATTTAGTCATAATGAACCGGATAGTTAAGACCAATAAAATGTTCCCATAATACATAAATTGGGATATGAGAAAAAAGCTATTGGTCAAGATTTCTAACATCATAAAATGTGCCTGTTATTCATGTTGGGTTAGAAAGTGCAATTTACCTTCAAACCTGCTGTATGAACGGTTTCATTTTGGTTCTTTAATCAGATCATTTGATAAAGTAACAATTAAAGAAAAAAGAGCTTTTTTGTTTTGATATGCTAATTATGAAAACTCCTTGATTCTTTCAGAAGACCGATTTGACTGTTCAGATACCATCTACATTATGTTTATGGAGCATATTAACATAAATGCTATATTTACATGGTATTCAGCTTTTAGAATCTGTATTGAAAATGTAGCCAGAGTTTTTAATGTTGGAAACTCAAATTTTTGCATTCATGATTAATTGATCATTTCAACAGTTCATGAGTTCAGCAGTGTCATCATAATTTGTTATGTATGCAGATTGAACCAGAATCACAAACACAACTTCTAGATGCTACAATGAACTTGGAAGGTGTATTGTTAGCTGGAGTTCCTGGAGCAGGAGGATTTGATGCAGTCTTTGCTGTTACTTTGGGAGATTCAAACAGCAATGTGACGAAAACATGGAGTTCAGTTAATGTTCTCGCCATGTTGGTTAAAGAAGATCCTTGTGGAGTTTCATTAGAAACTACTGATCCACGAACCAATGAAATCACGTCAGCTGTATCTTCTATTCGTATTGAATAAGTTTATTTCCACCTGTAAAATAAGTCACCACAAGAATATTCTGTGGAATGTGGCTTTTAGACTAGGCATTATTAGTTTCTTTCCATTTTTTAGAGGGAAAAATGAGTGGTGATTGAGAATAATCTAAGTGAGCAGAAAATTCTTTGAATAATAAAGTGTGTATGATCAAAATTTCAAATGTGTTGTCCAAATACATTCCTTGTCTTTTTGAATCTATCCACTTTTCTGTGACAGGTAGAGAATTTATTACATGCAGTCACCAATTACTATCTTTCTAGATGTGTTTTTTTAACAAAAACGTCTAAGGGGGAAGAATATATGGAAACTATTAAATTATGTTTTTCCCTTCTCTCTTTCACTAGAGACTTTGTATTTCCCTAATTCATTGATACCCAGAAACCAAACACATGACTGTTCCTCTTCCCTCGGGTTGTTCAGCTTCACTGTCATATCTTAATGAATGGCTACCATAATGTTTTTTTTTTGGTTGTGTTATGAAAAAAAATGGATTCACAATAAAATTCCTTTACTGCAATAATAAACCACCAAGAAAATTTGGAAAATCTATAAATTTATGTACTAGTTATGCATTGTAATGAAAAAGTAATTAATTTAATGACTTGAAAATAATGTACTGTAGATAATATTAATTAAAGGTAAAATTAATAAAAATGAATTAATGTTGTATTGAAAAATTAAAATAACACTTGTTTTAGAACAAAATTTCTTTTGGTAAAGATACACTTATTGAGACAAAGGGGGTATTAGGTTTAGAATTTCCTTTTTTTTTGTAAGAATTGTTTTTCACGAAGCTTTTGAAACTGGGAAAGAATAAACATTAATCAGAGTGTTAAAAAAGGAAGGAAATAAAAAGATAATTTAACAGATATAGTATAGAGAAATAAACAATAATCATGTGTGATCGCACTATACAATTGAACAAATAATGATGTTCATAGATATGCACACCCTACACACCATGTACTAACTATTCAAACAAGCTGACCAACCAAATTCTAGTTCTAATAACTTGAAACTCATCGAAAAAATTAACGATAAATATTAAAAAACAACAGAAAAATAAATCCTCACCAGAAACACATTCTGATGATACTAAATTTCCATGATAATGAGTATGTAGCTATTTCTCCCATACTTCAACTACCATTTCATTTTCATCTCTTGATTCAAAAGACAAACTTGGTCTTTATATATTCAGATTAAGATATTCATTGCCAACCCTAAAACTGCCACACTCCGCCAGAGATTTTGTGTTGACCTCCCTCCCATATTTGCAGACATAATTCAGACCCACAAGAAGCTCAGTGATTATTTCTTCCGTCTTTTCTTGATTTGCAAAGTACAGCGTTTGAACCAGCAGCACGTTTGTTCTCGAAACAAAGCTCTGTTGCTCAAAACTCCTCTCCGTTTGCCATCTTATCATGTTATGAGCAAGCGGTGCCAACCATTCCAATATGCTTGACATTGCTTCATTCCATTCTCCTGCAAGACTCGTGTCGTAGACCGATGATGACGCCATGGTTTTTGTATACGGCTTTAATTTGGCTTTGAGGGCGACTCTTACACGTCTTGGTAGCATGTTGTACATGTCATCTCTTGCATCGAGACCGATCAAGTGTGGAGAAGCTGCTAGCTTCTCAATCACAATGATAACATTTGCATAGTGAAGTGCTAAAGCAGCAGCACCGAGGGTTTCAGGTGGAGGATTTAAAAGCTTGCACATAGATTTGAAAACTGATTGAGTATGATGAACTACTTTGCCATGACCGAGAAGGTTTGAATTTGCGTCTCTGGGATTCTGAATCCCGTTGTGAACACCACTTGCGCTTGAATGACAGTCAATTACAGAGGAACTGTCCCAGGCCATACATCCTTTGAAAGGTCCTACTTGAGTCATTCGACTGTGTCTTGCGTGAGTTTCCTTCCCAGTTATGGCAGTAGAGTGTTTATAAAAGTTCCAAATCTTGCTCATTTTTTTTGTTCTACTAAGTGGGACCGAATGATTTGCGTTCCTTCCAAGGGGACCTGAGTAAAAATTGACATTTGTATTCTTTCCTAAAATCGGGCCAGACTTTGTCGACGAGTCACCAAGGGGGCCTGAATGAGAAACGCTGGTTTTATTTGTTCTAACCATTGGACCTGAATGAGAGATGCTGGTTTTATTTGTTCTAACAATTGGACCCGATCTCGCCGTAATATTATGAAGAGGACCTGAAGAAAATCTAGCAATTTGATTATGTGATGGGTCAAATGAAGATTGAAATAATGCAGAGACCGATTGACTTCTATAAATGCTCTCAGAATCTAAGACACTCGAGTTTTTGGTTCCACCATCATCTACCATCTCTTGAATTCCGAATACATGGTTGATTTTACAGAATATCGTGAATAACGATCTTGCCAAAAGATGTATTGTGTAATCATATGTCCGGTTCCATAGAGAGATATCCCTCAAGCTTTTCACCTCATGCCTCTTCCATGCAACTTTCTTCTGATACTCACTTAGAGTTACGCCATCTGACTCACCATTAGGCTTCACTCTCGTAAGAGTTTGCTCCAGCTCGGTAAGCACCTCCATCTCTTGATACAGACTTGCATTAGTCGATATAAACTTTTCCATCTTTTTGATCTTTCTTTCCATCTTCTTGCTAGTGAATTCCCACCCATATGGATCCGTACCCATAGTGATAAACCCATAAAACGTGCTTTCAAAACCTTTCAAAATAGGATTGTTGCATTTCTTTGAAAGTCTAGCCACAGACTCGGCAACATGTGCCATATTTTCGACTATCTCCATACAGATCAATCGTTCAATAAAATGATCGTCATCTGAAACAAGCTTTCTTATGCCAATTGAATTTGTGATCTCTTCTCTCAACCTAGCAACATGTTTATCACTCAGCGATTGCCATAAATTAACAAGCTTGGACATCAAGCTTGCTATTTCAAATGCTAATACTCCAATCACCTCCTCGGAGTTAGCATCATGCTTCCGAGGAGCCCTCCACAGATTACGAAACCATGACTCCACAACCATTGCTTATTTAAAAATGGCAAGCAACTATCCCCTTTACAGCGATTCCTTTGTCATAGCTCTGTAATACTCAGCAAACAAAACACAAAACAGTACTGTCAAGAAGGGTTTTATAACTTATCCATCTAATACTCAGCAAATAAATCGAGGTGTCGGTGCTTCAGAGCTTGCAATGAATCATCAACAATAAACCACTAAAAACTGATTCTGGTAGCTCAAAAAAAAGTAAAAATATTCAAGTACAAGCAAAAAGCAAAGCTCACATTTCTTCTTGTTACTCTTTTTGGTTTGTCAAATGTCCTTAGGCCTTTTACTTTCTTAAGGATAAAACTGCTTAACTAAGAAGCAAAAAGAGAATACAAATTTTCTAGAAAATATTGCTGAAGAATATATGCTTACAAAAAAGAAAGCTACATAACAAAAACCTAAATGTTGATCCTATTCTCTTACTACTCAAAATCAATGTTGAAGGTTCCTAAAAAAAAATGTGAAGGTGAAAGGACTACATTTTTCTAGATAAATAGTTCAATATTGATTCAAACAAAAATCACAATTAAAAATGAAAAAATAAATGACATAAATCTTAAACCCATGGAACTAAACCCAAATCTTACAAGCAAACCCAGATTGCAGAACCTTTATAAAATCACAAAGTTACAAACTTTTTGCCATTGACATACTTTACAGACATTTTGGTTATATGGGTCAAAAAGTTTGGCAGTGAAAACTCAAATCTCACACCATAAAGTGATTATTATAACAAGCAAAAGGTAAAAGGAGTGTGATAAAGCGGAGTAGGAGAAAACTCACCGATCAGAGAAAAGCAGAAGTAGTCAGGTGGAAGATGAAGGAAATGGGATGGGAAGGTGCACATGGAAATTGGAAGGAAATGCAAACAAAGTTGAGAAATTGAGAGAGAGAGAGAGAGAGAGAGAGAGAGAGAGAGAGAGAGAGAGAGAGAGAGAGAGAGAGAGAGAGAGAGAAAAAACGAGTGAGTAGCAACTACATCCAAAATAATTATTAATTTTCAAATTAATAATACTTCATTAATATTCTACAGCTCATTTTTTATTTTTGTTTTTAAGATTGGAATTTTTAATTTTGAGATAAAGATTGGTTTAAGATATAACTAGCATTATAATTATAATCGAAAGAGACACCATATATTCACCTAAAATTTTAAGATGATAGGTATTAAGTGTGAGTTCACAATATTCCCTCTCAAGAGTTTAATACTTCATTTCAATAATAAATATGAGTATATATTATTTAATATGTTTTATAGAATAATTTTAATTGACTTTTTATAGATTTTTGTTCTATATTTATTTGAAATTTAATTAATATATTAATAGATATCTTAAAAAAAAGTTAATTTGGCCTTGGACCCGTTTCAACATCTTTCTAGCCCACTTCTCTCTAGCCCACTTAAGACAAAATGTCTAGTATGTAGGTAGAAAATTTTACTTCATACCCCTACATCTATCCCCACATCCCTACACAAAAAAATATTGGACCAAAATGCCCTTCCTTAAATAGTATAATTTAAAAAAAAATTCTCATTTCACTTCATTTGCACTGAAAGACTTCCGGAACACACATTTTTATCTCTCAAACCGGAACTCTTCCTTAAAGTCTTCCGAAAGTCATTTTTCGCGCTAGCCAAACCGGAACTCTTCAAGTAAGTCTTCCGGTTCGTTTGTTTTTTTTTTCCTTCACCGGAAGACTTAATGCATGTCTTCCGGTATACAATTTCTTGGATTTCTTCACCGGAAGACTTCGATTAAGTCTTCCGGAACACATTTTTCCTAATTTCTTCACCGGAAGACTTTCTTCATGTCTTCCGGTTCATTGTTTTTTTTTGTTTTTTTTTTAATTAATTAATTTATTTATTTATTTTAATTTTTATTTTATTTATTTATTTTAATTTTTATTTTATTTATTAATTTACTTTTTAAAATTTTTAATTATATTTATTTATTATTATGGTTTTAATTTTTATTTTTTAATTATATATATTTATTTTAATTTTAATTTTTTTTAATTATATTGGTTTTTTTTTCCAGTGGTGCGCACACGAGGCAGAGATGGTAGGATCCCTCGCGGACTAGGACGGGGCGAGTCCTCCAGGATGGCTGAAGAAGAGCATTTTGATGCATCTGCATCAGCATCCGAACCAGTTGGATATCCAGGAGGACCATATGATACGTCTCTGTTAGTTAAGTACGAACAACATATTGCATACCGTATATGGTTCGGTCAGGTAAGTAAACGAAAATTATTTAATATTGACGGTCATTTCGAATTTTTAATATTGAATTTTATAATATATTTACTTTTAATTTTTTTCAGGAGAGAGGGTCGAAGAAAGAATTAAAGGTGGCTGGACATGGGTTGAAGTTGGCTCAGAGGGTTCCACTACAGCTACCTAGAGAGATGGAGAGATGGATATCTAGGTCTGGTTTAGCTTCACTACAGAGAACCAGTTTATCAAAGATAGACACAAATCTAGTTTCCGCTTTTGTAGAGAGGTGGCATCTAGAAACATCATCATTTCACATGACGTTTGGTGAGATGACGATTACTCTAGATGACGTATCTTGCCTGCTTCACTTGCCCATCAGGGGAGTTTTCTGGAGCCCTGAAGATATCAGTGAAGCCCTTGCTGTTGAGTGGGCTGTTGATCATTTAGGAGTGTCACAGAGAGTAGCACAACAACAAGTCCGTGAATGCAGGGGTTCCTACTACAAGATGAAGTGGTTATATGATCTGTTCGTTGAGCATAGAGTTGCATCTAGATGGCATTATGCCACTAGAGCTTATTTGTTGATGTTGGTGGGTTCCACGATTTTCGCGGACAAGACGTTTACGCTTGTCGAGGCACGATACCTCTCACTGTTTATAGACTTGGATGTCTTATCTGGATACAGTTGGGGAGCAGCTGCGTTGGCTACTCTTTACAGATATCTCGGAGATGCTTCCATGTTCAGCTGTAAGCAGCTTGGTGGTTATCCGACTCTCTTACAGATATTTATTTTAATTTAGTATATTTTGTTTTAATAAATTTTATTATGTTATAATTAATTATTTTAATGTTAATAACCATATTAATTTTGTGACAGTGCTGGATTCATGAGTATTTTCCAACACTTGGAAAAAAAGGAGAAAACTGGATACCAGCTCATAATGTGGGTCTCCCTCGAGCGATGAGATGGTCATATAGGCAAGGTGCCTTGAAGGTGGATGAGTTACGACCTATTCTGGACGAGCTGACACCTGTTGATGTCATATGGCGCCCATTCGAGAATCATAGAGTATGGCGTCAGTTCGATGAGTTATGCCTATATAGGGGGTGTCTGAGGTGGGGTGACACTATTGTTCCATATTTGCCTGACAGATGTATGCGTCAGTTTGGATACAGGCAATATGTTCCACATCCACCTATTGATCACAGGATGGCTGGTGATATTGATGTTGACTGGATTAGTTACCATCAGAGCGTCCAGAATGTGATTCGTCCGACAGCACCGGCCACCACCCCATACGAGACAGATGATGGATATCTTGAGTGGTATTATCGTGTCTCTCATCCTCGATTGGTACCGATACCCTATCATGATGCACCATCAGAGATGCCAGTTCTAGTATATGAAGCAGGACCATCTGATCCTAGTTGGGCTCGTGTGTCTTCGTTGATTCATCGTTATCTTCAGCAGGCTGGTGCTGAAGATGATGACCCACAGTTTGCGGATTTGTTCGAGGCTTTACATATTGCTCGATCACAGTGACTTATATTTTGTATTTATGATTATAAGTTAACTTTTAGACTCATTTGATCCACAGTTTGCGGATTTGTTCGAGGCTTTACATATTATAAGTTTTGAAATTAAAAATGAGTAACAAAATTCATTATTCATGTTTTGAAATTAAAAATGAGTAACATAATTTATAATGTATAATGTGTTGGTAATATAGGCGTAAGTTGTTGCCAATGTTGTAGACGTGGTGCAAATCCTAGCATCCAAGATGTTGCTGCTGGAGAACGAAAATTCTTCCAATCTACTGTCACCGGTGGCAATGGAAACCCTTCTTTCATGTTCACCTAAATAAAAAAAATAATCAAAATAGTAAGTAAAAAATAAAGAAAAATACTTAGAGTTAATCGCATTATCAAAAAAACAACTAAGTACCTGAACCCAGTGATTTCCATTTACAAAACCAATGCAGTAGATTGCTGCATTCAGTGAAAATGAAGTTGTCATAGGGAAGAAAGTCCAGCATTCAATTCCTAAACAGACAAGTACAACATTATAACGATTCGCTATCATGTAACCCATATCTGGTAGAGTTAACCATTTATGTGGTGGTTGAGAACCGACTTCCTCTATCATCAAAGATTCTCTCACCACTGCTAACTGATCAGGAAATAAATTGGCATACAAACTTGATCTTTCATTATGTATTATTTCCAACCCCAAGTCTCGACGAATCATTGACCAACCATCTTCACCCAATCCTTGCAATGAAGCAATGACTCTAAATCCACAATTACCATCTGATACAACATTAACTACATCATCAATATATGACCGAATGTGATTAGGAAACTGAAGGATGAACTGCTTAGATGACTGTGATAATTTCAACTTCTTCGAAGCTTGTGATGGTTGAGATTTCTTTTGTGAAGACTGTGATAATTTCAACTTCTTCGAAGTTTGTGATGGTTGTGATTGCATCTGTGAAGATTGAGATGCTTGATCAACATACTCGTGATAAGAAGGGTCTCTATAAACATCATATCCTACTGTTTTTTTGTCTTTCTTCTTGACTCCCCCTTTAGTTTTTATTTTTTCAGGTGGTGGACACATAGAAGTCATTGTAGGGAAGGCAAGTTCAAACACCCTACTTTTTAATGCCCTTTTCCCAACAACATCCAGTGACTTAAACCTTTTCCATAACTCATCTATTGCACTACTCATATCCACCTCTGATCCATCATCTAC